AGGAAGGGAGAACAATGGGGAGAAAAGCTATGGTGCAAAAGCAAAAGGTCTGAGGACTCGTATAATTATAATACGCACAGGAACAGTGTTCTGTAGTAAAAAGTTAGGCAAACTTCGAAAGTTCTTAAGAGAGTAGATCCCAAGAGTTCTCATTACAATGAAAAACCTTTTCTTTTCTCTATGAGATGATGGATAGTACCTAAACTTGTGGTCACTGTTTCACAGTATCTGTGAGTTGAATCATTGGGCTGTACGCCTTAAACGATACATTCCTGCATGTGAATTATATTTCATTAAAACTGGGAAAAAAAGTTCTATGACCATACTGAACAATGATTTACTCTTGCACAGCAACAAAGAGTAGTGATTATATTTCTTTTTCTTCCAAATAATTCTTTTGGCTAAAATAAAGGAACATAAATACATACAGATGAGAATCTAGTAGGAATTTTGAGAAAGACAGAGAGACAGAGACAGAGACAGAGAGAGAGAGACACACTCACACACACAAACACACACATGGTGTGTTCAGGGTCAAGAACCAATTCTACCACTAACCCCTGAGTTTACTGAATGTATTTAGTCTCACTAAGTCCCAGTTTTCCCAGTTATAAAATGAAATGTTTGAACACGTTGATTGCTAACATTTTTTCCTCTTCTAAAATTCTATAATTTAAGAATTCTCTTTTGTAAGGTATTTTTTTTTTAAGGTTCATTAGCTTCAAGGCTCTTAATTCAACAAGAGCAGAGCATACCATTTCGAAAAGCATTTCTGCATACACACTATCAGTGATGGCGAACCTATGACACGCATGTCAGAGGTGACATGCGAACTCATTTTTTTGGTTGATTTTTCTTTGTTAAATGGCAGTTAAATATATAAAATAAATATCTAAAATATAAGTCTGTTTTACTATGGTTGCAAAATATCAAAAAATTTCTATATGTGACACGGCACCAGAGTTAAGTTAGGGTTTTTCAAAATGCTGACACGCCGAGCTCAAAAGGTTCGCCATCACTGGTCTACATAGTTATCACATCAGGCAACTGCTATCACCTGAATAGCAAAGACACAAAGCTGCTTCTGATTCAGTGAAAAAGTGTTAGCAAGTCATCTAATGTATGTCCACACACCCCTGTATTTCCAGACAACTGTGTGAAGATATTTCGTGCCTGTGATTTTGACAATGGAGCCGTGCTCTATAATACCAGTAGAGCTCAGCACTACCATCACAGAGCACTGCTTACCTTGACGCTCCAGGTTTGACTCCCAACATGTCCCAACTGTCTTTACTATTTCGAATTCTGCGAATGGTGTCTGCTTGCTCTTTGGTGAAACTAGCACTGCTATTTGGGATCGGACGTTTCCCGCCGTTTTCACATAAGTCAACTATGGCTGCATAGAAGGTCTGCAAAAAAAACCACACCCCACGGTGGAACTGACTTGGCAAAAACGGGGATTCCTTATAAGTATCAACTAAAGGACTTTAATATATTTCAGTAACTCTTAAAATTCATAATAAAGCAAGTATTTCAGAGGGAAGTACGATCAAAGACGTGAAGGAAAATATACTGCTGGTGAGTGAAGAGAGAGACTCTCAGCAGAGAATTGGGAGCCGCCCAAAAGCACCAAATGCAAATTCCAGAACTGAGGAGTGCTGAACTGAAAAATTCCCTCAGTGCATTCAACAGCAGATTGAAGTCAGAGCAACAGAGACTATGCAATCTAAAAAATAGAGAAAAAAATGGGATAAAGATAAACATAGCCTCAAGAATTGTGGGACAAAAATCACATGATCTACTATGTAGCTGGAGTCCCAGAAAAAGAGAGAGAGAGAGAGAGAGAGAGAATGAATAAGGCATAATATAAAGGTTTAAAAAAATCTCCCAAGCCCTAGCCGGTTTGGCTCAGTGGATAGAGCATCAGCCTGGGGACAGAAGGGTCCCAGGTTCGATTCTGGTCAAGGGCACATGCCTGGGTTGTGAGCTTGATCCCCAGTAGGGGGCATGAGGGAGGCATCTGATCAATGATTTTCTCTCACCATCATTGATGTTTCTATCTCTCTCTCCCTCTCCCTTACTCTCTGAAATCAATAAAAATATATTTTTAAAAAAACTCCCCAAATTTCATGAAAAACACCTGCACATCAATCCGAGAAACTCAACAAGCCCCACGTAGGATAAACGTAAAGAGAACCACACCCAGACACATGGCACAACTACTGAAAATCAATGAGAAAGAGAAGCTCTTGAAAGGAACTGGAGGGGAGCCTGGCCAGCGTGGCTCAGTGGTTGAGTGTCGACCTATGAACCAGGAGGTCACGGTTCGATTCCCGGTCGGGGCACATGCCTGGGTTGTGGGCTCAATCCCCAGTGTGGGGCGTGCAGGAGGCAGCCGATCAGTGATTCTCCCTCATCATTGATGTTTCTATCTCTCTTTCTCCCTCTCTGAAATCAATTTTAAAAATTTTTTTTAAAGAAAGTAACTGGAGGGGGAAAGACATTACATACAATGGAGTAAGAGTAAGAATGGGTGCTAACAGCTCAGGAGACACAACAGAGACCAGAAGAGAATGAATTAATAGAGTGAAAGTGCTGCTTTAACCTCAGCAGCTGTTATCTATGCCGCCACCAAACCACCGCCCCTCTCAGGTGCTCTCCTATCGGAAATGAGAGCGGTAACTGCCGCACGCTAAGCGTCTTAAAGGCGATGCAATATGTAAACCCTCCAGGATTGTAAAGCACTATCCAAATGGCTAAGTATTATTATTGCACATATATAGGTACAAACCCACATAGGTTTGTTTCACAAGAAGAGAGTCGTGGCAAGACAACACCAGCCTTATTTGGTCTTGAAATAGAAGCTACTGATGCCCAATTTAGCCCGTCAGCGAGGATGGGACCTGTCTCCCAACAGGAGGGGTGACAGCTTGTGAGGAGAAAATTCCGCATAAAAGGTTAAGTAAGATCCCACTCAATAATTAAAAACAACTCTTTATAGTATAGCTACCTTATTCAAAATGCTGAAAATGCCCAAAATATCAGATGTAGTCGTAAGAAAAAAATGCATTATTCATGCCACCACTTACTTCCAAATGGATCTGTCATTAAGAGTTGACTTGACTTTAGAACTTAGTGTTTCAACAGCCTCCTCCCCTTAAAATTATCCAAGATTAGTAAATTTTTAAAAAGTGGCCATCTATTCAGCTTGCACTGTGAATGCATCCTTCTACTGCCTACATGATTGGCAAGACCTGTTTTTGTGCGTGACTGGCTGGATTTGTAACCGCCTCATATGGCCACAATATAGGATTATCTTAGCAATGGCAAGCCGATCTGCATAGAAATGTAACCAAAGGTAGTTTGGAAGAAATTCTCTGTCCACTGAAGTTAAGTGTAAAATAGCTGCTGTTAAACATGATAATCACCAGAATCACCTAGAAAGCTTTTCAAAATATAGATTCCTGGCTCCATCACAACATTACGCTTCCAATGGGCCCGGAACCCAGCAACCTGTATTTTGAAGAATTTCCTCAAGTAACTCTGAGATCAGCCAGGTCTGGTCTGAAATAGACAGCAGACAGATATCACACACACATATCATATTCATATTCTTTCTCTTTTTCTCACCAGCTTCTGAAAAGAAAAAGCTCATTCAAATGAGAAAGTCCCTTTTTGCTTCTCACAATTTAAACTAGAATTTGGCACGGTCAGTCTCGACACAGATTTTAGAACCACAAAATGCCGGGTTACCTGGAACATCTCATTAATTCCTTCTCCAGTTTGTGCTGAAGTTTCAAAGTACAGGAACCCTTTGCTTTCGGCCCAAAGACGCCCTTCGCTTTCATCCACACAGCGGTGCTTGGTGCAGTCAATCTGAAACAGCAACGTGAGGGCCAGAGACGGCCCAGTGAGGTCTGTCAGTCTTTATAGGCAAATACTATTCTTAATGCAGCCCGGCGCTCGCACAGCAAATGTAGGACCCAACGGGACAAGACCACGAGTAATGTTGAATGGGGCTGATTTTCTGTGGCAAAGCAAGGGCCTGTTAGCACACTTCCCACTTATGCCTGGAGAACCCGCCGCACCCAAGGGGGGCGGGTCTGCTTTCACGCCTTTCCCCAGACCACTCTTCACCTCTCACTGCCTTCCTCCCGTCAGATCCGTCAGATCCGAGTGAGGATTAGCATCCGCTTCCCCAAGTACCCACCAGACATAAAATGGATCAAAGCCTGAGGCTGGCTGTTGGTTTGTTGTTGTTCTTGTGTTAGGGACCTATGTTTTGAAAAGTTGTTGATTCCTATATTACCGAAAAAGGAACTTTCCTTTTTATGTTCCCCCACACTCAGAGCTGCGCTCCTCCATAATAAATCTAGAAAGCTGAGCGGACTATTTCCAAAGCGGTTACCTTGTTGGCGCACACTACGAAGACAATGCTTTCCATGTTCCCGTGAGGTCCAAGGTCTTGCTTCATTTCCGCCAGCCACGTGTCAAGGGCATCAAAGGAGTCTTTTTGCCCAACATCATAGACCAGCATCACCCCCTGTGTGTCCTTGTAAAACTCGTTACGAACCTTCACATAAAAGAACAGATGCACAAAATCTGAAATAGCAAGTTGGAGGGGTTTTGTGGTTTTATAAGAAAAGGTACAAACCCACATAGGTCTGTTTCAAAAGAAGAGAATCATTATCTTTGCAAAGTCCGCTCTTTTGTGTGTTCACAGCATTTGCTGTTGTATCTCAGTATCTGCTGGCCTCACTTCAGGGGACGTTTTACAAAATCAAAGTAACAGGATTAACAAAATCTGTCGGTGCAGAAGGGCTTGGGATGGAAACAGCAGCCTCTGCCCTGCCTTCCTCACCCCCAGTTCCACTCCCCAGAGGCGACCAATCATTAAGTGCTGTTAGCAGACCTTAAAATAACATAATGACGTCAAGTTCTGCTCAGGAAGAACATGGAAGCTGAGTGAACAATTAAAAAGAACTTAAGGCAAAAATGACACAGGTATTAGCAACAGGTACAGCCATTTAGACACCCCACCCCGGGTGGCAGGCAGGTCTCTCTGCGCCTGGAGCTGAGCAGCAGCCTCAGACTGCACACTGAGCCACCGTGGACGGGAACACGGCTCTGGAGCCGGTACCCCTGGTTCACGCTCACTCACTTTGGTGTGCCCGGGGCGGGCCCTGAGCCTCTCCGGTCTGTTTCCTCATCTGCAAAACGGGAGACTCCTCACTGCCCAGGGCTCTTATGACAAGGAAATGAGGTGATGACGGCAAAGCACCACCAAGGGCATTAGTCTCCCTCCCTCCCTCCAGGAGGATGGAGATGCGCTTTTCCCTGCTCTTCCTGTGAGTACAGGAAAACGCCTGGGCAGCACACAGAAACCAGACAGAACGAGTCTCGGGAAGGCGGAGAGAAGGCAGACAAGCTCGGGAGCTGGGGAACGGACAATGGTGAGTTCCCTGGGCTTTCTCTGCCTCACACATGCAAGACAGGGAGCTGGGGGTCCACCTGGAAACGCCACAGGGTGCAGACAGACAAACGCCCCCAGAGCCTGCTCTCTTCAGACAGAAGACCAGGAAAGGGGAAGCCTCACAGGACAAAGAAACTAGACAACAACCACTCACTTCCGCCAGACACCTCAAAAAATTCTGCCTCTCCAGCCCCCCACCCACCCAGGCAAAGGCTGAGTGGAGACTTCAGAAAAATAAATGACTGAGAAACACAATAACCAAAATGAAAAAGCTTAGAAATTGAGCTCAACAACCAATGGAAGGGACGGTGGAAAGACTCAGAGAACTAGAGGCAGACAATAACATTAGGCAACCTAAGCAATAGAGAGAGAAACAAACAACAAACAAATAGAACAGCGCCTCAGGGACCCTGGGACTACAAGACGAGAGTCCCGAGAGGAGAAATAGGGTGGGACTGGAAGCGCTCAAAGAAATAATGGCTAAAACTCCTCAGATGTGGCAAGAGACATACGCCTACAGATTCAAGAAGCTGAGGAAACCCCAAACAGAAAAAGCAAAGACCTCCATGCCAACTCATCACAATTCAACCTCTGAAACTAAGGACCAAGGGAAAATCAGGAAAGCAGCCAGAGAAAAGTGAGACCTCTCCCCTGGGGAAAAAACATTTCAAATGACCGATTTCTCATCGGAAATCGAGACCAGAGGATTTTCCAAGGGCTGAAAGGAAGGCCAACCCAGGCCAGGCCAGTGTGGCTGAGCGGACCCTGATCACTCGTGCCCTGCCACGGACGCACCCACGTCTGGGCTCAGGTACACAGTGAAAAGAGCAGTCCTTTCACAGTGAAATGTCTCACACCAGCTAAACACACTTATTTTTACACATGATTTGAATATGGGTTGTTTCAGGTAATTCAGGATCTTTGGCTAAACCATTGACAATACTGGATACAGGTTTTCTCAAAAAGGCTTTCTTACCTCATAGAAGAAGGGGTGTCCGGCCATATCAAAGATGTTAACTTTGATCTCTCTGTCTCTGACTTGTACCCTGGAATGTTCACACGAAAAAAAAAAATCCCAAAGGTCATGGTTTCTGCATTCACATTAATATTATTTGTCACTTAGAAATATCTGTCACTCATACGTTTTAAAGGCGTGTGTGTATGAACCTTCAGAGGGCTTCTCAGTGCCTCTTCGATCCCGCATCATCTCTGCCACAGGAGCCGCACCCTGGCAGGCACCCTGCCTCCTGATCCTAACACACCGAGCCCGCCTGGCACAGGCCCTCGCTCACCTCCAACTGCCCGCCCCCTTCCCTCACCAAGGGCGGCTCGTGCTGCGGGACTAAGGAAAACTGACAGGTAGGAGCGAGAGGAAGGAAAACAAAATATTTTGTTTCCCTTAGTAAGACATCTTAATTACTGCTGGTTATACTCGGTTATGATGCAGAACTGTAACAAATTATATTATTAACAATATCTGTTTAATTTTCTTGTTAGCTGCATTTGAGCAATAGCAATAGTCAATTTTCTTTCAGAAATTTGAAAATAAAGAACAGAACAAAAAGGGAAATAACCACCATTAAAATTAGAATTAACTACTGTTAACATTATAGCATTTTTGCTCCAAGTCTTTTTTTAAAAAAAGAAAAATCACTACTGGAAAATGAATGAATAAAACTTGATAAATAATTCGAACACCAAAGGAAAATACAAAGGTGAAGGCTTAAAAGTAAACCCAAATCATATCACCCAGAAAAAACCATCACTAACAGATGAAAATCACCGCAGACTTCTTTCTATGCATAGATAAGACTAATAGACATTTTAATAAATATGGGTTTACTACTTTGAAATAAAAAGTATAAGTTTTACTTTTTATTGAATTTAACAAAAAGTAAAAAGACAAAAAATTGAGCTTTCAATGTAAATGTGTCCTCACCACATAAATATTTCTTTCCCAAAAGGTTCCACTAAGGTTAAAGAATAGAGATTATAACAATAAATTAACCAACGAGCGTCTTTTTTAAGTAAGTATTTCAGTCTTAGCATTGGTACGACTCCCTCGGGGGTCGGGGGTGGGGGGGACCAGGACATCGGCACCTGCTCCCTTGTCCCCCGCTGTCTCCCGGTGTGTTCATTACTATTCTCTGTCCAAAGGATAACATCTACTTTCAGTTCTGAAACCCCGCTTCCTACAGCGTTTTCTGGTATTTGCACATTTAATTCCGACAAACCACCACTCATCGTCTTGTGGTGACTCCCTCTGTGGAGCTCTCTCCCAGATCTCACCAAACGCGAGAAGCACATGTGACATCAGAATCCATCTAACAAAAGAGAACGTGCGAACAGCAGACAAACAAAATGAGAGTGTGCGAGCATCCACAAAAGGCCTGGCACAGTAATTTAAATTAGAAAATGTCACCTTAGGAGATAGCGTTTGCGAAGGCACGGCACTGATGGACACAGTCAGGAAGTAACACAGTGCTCGCACTGAAACTCCAAAGAGGTCAATTTCATTTCGGAGCCAGAGAAACTGCCTTAAGAAAATGGCAATTCGTTACCTCGGGGCGGTGCTTCCCTATGCTGGGGCCTGAAGACCCGGCATCCTGACAGGGGGCTGTGAGAACACAGACCCGGGAATCAGAATCTCAGCCTAGGAATCTGCATTTTGACAAACTCTACAAGCAATTCTTCAGAATACTGCAATTTGAGGTTCACCATATCGAAAACAGGACAGATGGAATGGCCAAGGAGTACCCCTCCACCCCATGTACCTGGTAGTGCCAATGTTCTCCGTGATCCCACGGCTGACTGAGTTAGGGAAAGGCGTCTGTCCTACCTGACAACCAAAACCTTCCCTGGGATTTTTACACTTGGAATATTAGTTTCGCTCCCTCGCTGGAAGTAAAATTTACAGGGAGAGGCTGAGAGCTGCTGGCAGCTGTGTGGAGAAAGCCAAAACAGGGACAGGGGAGAGAGGGAGAGAGGGAGGAGGAAAGGGAGAGGAGGGGGAGGGGAGAGAAAGAGAGAGAGGGAAATGATTTGGCTATATTTGGTTCCAGTCATCTCTGAGGCCCAGCTACATCTGTGTAATTGGATTCTGTGAATTGACGTCCTTTTTATTTTTTTTTGCTGGAGTTGGTCTAAGTTGGGTTTCTGGCAATTATATCCTCCTGACTCACCAGGGATAACCACCTTCTCCAAAAAAAATTTCAGCCAGAAACAGAAGAGCCTGTTGAATAAACCACCATTCTGTGGCGTAATATGGCGATTCTCATTTCTTAGATGAATCAATAGCTACTTACATGATTCAAAACAAAACTGCCTTCAACAGGATCCCCCCACACATCACTGATGAGATCCTGTCCCCTGAACTATAGATACCCGCCCCCATCGCTTTATCTACCCTTCTGAATGTTGCTAATATTCTAATCTTGCAAACTTCCTATTCAGATATATCCATCTTACCTAACAATAAATACTTATTGAGCATCTACTACTACATACAAGCACTGAGCCAGGCACTGGGAGATAATTTATACTAATTGCCCCTTATTCACAGAGCTTACAATCTAGCGGGAGACATTAAACATATACAAATCATAATAATAACACAAAGTAATTTAGGGTAAGTACCATAAACAGCAGAGAATTTTAGTATTTCTGTCATTTGCGACCAAAATGAGTCCTGACTGACGAAGCAGGTGTTCAAAAGGCCTCTGGGCACAGGAGTATTTCACACCTTGCGGGACAGGCAGGTGGAGAGATGAGGGGAAGGGCCGTTTCAGGTGCAGAGTGAACACTGGCACCTGATAGGACAGCATGATGGCAGCTCAGTGTGGATGGAGAGCGAAGGTGTAAAGGAATGTAATAAGAGAGGAGAGACGGGGGACAGGGGGTGTAGAAGGGAAATTGGGGCCAGAATAGTCAGTGCCTGAGATTCCACCTTCAGGGAGTGCTGTCTACCTCGATTCTACTCTTCGTCAGTACTATTTCCTATAATGTAATGCTTCCTCCCCAACTCAATCCACTCTTGATTCATCTCCAAACACACCCTCAATTATTCCCAATGTCATTCTTCCTGGTCATTTCTCTCCTCAAGCCCAACAGGCTCTGAAGATCACAAATCAACCAAGTTCTCTGATAGAAAATGTTCCACATAATCTTTAGACTTCTCAGAGAGGATATTTCAAAACGCTCTAAACACATCTGCTAATAGGACCTCCTACAGAAACACGTTTCCTGAAAAGCGACGCCTGCCAGTTCGGCTCCACGCTGACCTGCTCCACAGGCAGACCTATGCCCGTCGCCAGGCCTGCCGCTCAGTGAGGAGTGCGCGGCTGCTGGTGCTGAGTGGTGATCTCCGCGCATCTGCAAGGCCTCACTCCTACTCTTCCCCAATTTATCTCAGACTCTATTTCCAGACAGCGTTTAGAAGGGTTCTGAATTTCTACGTAAGTTACAACATACTCACTTTGTGACTCCATAGTCAATTCCAATGGTTGCCAGGTATTTCGACACAAATCTTTTCTCACAGTATCGCTTTATAATACAGCTCTAAAAAGGTGAAAACACATGCTTTTAGTAAATAGCCTCTGTGAACATATACAAAATAAACACATTTCTTCACATGGTTGGTGTCTTCATTCCTCACTATGAGAAAGCATTCTTAAAGGCAAAAGTATAAAATAACTGAAACAAATGCTAAAAGTGAAGATTTTAAAGAAAAATAATTTTGTAATTCTCCCCTTAATATCGAATATGGGTATGCTTTTAGTTTAGTTCTCAATCCTTGTGCTCTTTTCTTTGAAGATATTTTCTCCTTTCTTTTTATTTTTAATTTTTTTTTTTTAATTTCAGAGAGGAAGAGAGAAATAGAAACATCAGTGATGACAGAAAATCACTGCTTGGCTGCCTTCTGCACAGCCCACAATGGGGATTGAGCCCGCAACCCCGGCCCGTGCCCTGACCGGGAATCGAACCATGGCCTCCTGGTTCATAGGTTGACACTCAACCACGGAGCCATGCCAGCCAGGCAAGACCTCCTCCACTTCCAACAATAACAACAAAGTGCCTAAGTCTAGCCTTGACCTCCCTCCCAACACTAGATCCCCATCTCCAATATCTGCTAGACTAGTTTTTACTCAGATGTCCTGTTGTTACCTCAAATTCAACATGTCTGAAAATAAACTAATCTTATACGTAAAATAGCACATCCTGCTGACAACCTACTTCTATTGATATTGCTACCATTTTCCCAGTCACAGAGGACCAAAAGGTTAAAGCCGTGTTTGATTCTGAGCCTTTCTAAATCTCCTTCTCTCTTCATTCCAAGAGCCATTGATCCCACTCTGGTTTAGGTCATCGTGTACTAGACAACCGTAGGAACTTCTTCATTCGTCTTTCTGGCTCCTTTTCCTCCCAACTTTAGCCAACACTGCACACCACTAACATTATTTCAGCTCAGAAATCTTCAGTGGCTTCTCATTGCCAAGACCTCAAAATCCAAATTCCTTTGTCTGTTTTTCAAGGTCCTCTGTAATCTGACCCTAATCTGTCTTCTCCAGCGGTTCTCAACCTGTGGGTCGCGAACAATGAAAATACATCCTGCATATCAGATATTTACATTACGATTCATAACAGTAGCAAAATTACAGTTATGAAGTAGCAACAAAAATAATTTTATGGTTGGGTGACCCCCAATTTCATTGTTACAAACTGAACATAATTAAAAGCATAGTGATTAGTCACAAAAACAATATGTAATTATCTATGTGTTTTCCAATGGTCTTAGGCAACCCCTGTGAAAGGATCATTCGACCCCCAAAGGGGTTGCGACCCACAGGTTGAGAACCGCTGCTCTAAACCCTTCTATATAAACTCTCCATTTCGGCAAAACTCCCAGAACCCGACTTCCTGGCCTTTGTCATTACTCTTCCTTCTACTTGGAATAAACTTTCCCTTGTCATTTCAAATCTTAGTTATCCTTAAAAGTCCAGCTCAAACTCAGCACTCAGGTTATAAGAGGTCTTGTCTGCATCTGAACTCCCCTAGCACTTTACATACACACTACCACATACACACACACACAAACCCTATGCACTGCCATTAGCCATACACTCCCTCGTATTGTTAATTACTTTTTCATATGTGTATATTTACTTTATCTCTTCAGCTAAACAGTAAACTATGTGAGGGCATGCACCAGTATTTTACTTATTTATATCTTCTGCAGAATTAGATCAGTGCCAATGAAAAGCCAATTTAAAATGACTTGTATATTAATAATAATCCTTAGCACTTATAAAACTTATAATTTACTTGAAGTGCTAATAATGGAGTTTGTCCTTTCCGGATGAACCTCAATCTAAATTAAATAGGACAGTTACTATAAAAAGGACTTAATAAACTCACCCTAGTAAGAGGAATTGCAAGAGTGCCCTCTCGTGGACATTCGGAGAACAGCACCCTAGTAAGGAATTAAGTGCAATAGTGCCTTCTTGTGGACATTCTGAGAACAGCACCCTAGTAAGGCATTAATTAGTAAAACCCTAGTAAGGGTCCTCTTTTTAAAAAATTAATATATCTTTATTGATTTCAGAGAGGAAGGGAGAGGGAGATAGGAGCACGGATTCTGGGCACGGAAACTCCTTTTTCTTATTTTATCTCTAGAATC